CTTCTGCTAGTCAAACTGTCTCCTCCTTCATGTCTTGGTCCTTGAGACCACAGAGATCATTTCCCAAGTTGTTCATATGCTCACACGGCTCTTGGAAATTAAGAGTCTGAACTTGGTTAGGTGTTTGGCAGCTGTTCAAAGGCTTTCTTCTCCCTTGAGTGAACTGGAGGAAGTTGGGGTATTTAGGAGTTGAATTAATTCCATAGGTACATGAATAGTAGCTATAACCATTAAATTCACCTCTGATCCTCCAGGTAAACTGAATTACAATTAGGAATATTCTTGACCCTTGCATGCGTGTTCAGTTGCTTCAGTCGTGTCCAACTCTTTGCCACCTTATTGACTGTAGCCTCCCAGGTTCCTCTGTCCATGGGGATTCTCCAGGCAAGAATAGTGGAGTGGGTTGCTGTGTCCCCCTCAAGGGTATCTTCCCTACTTGGGGATCAAACTCAGATCTCCTGTGTCTCCTGCATTGCGGTGGATTCGTTATCACTGAGTCACCAGGCAAGCCCCCTTGACTCTTGGGACTGGCCAAATGGATTGGTGAAGGCCATTAGGGGAAGTCCAAAGCAGTCACTCAAGAGGGAGGAATAAACTATTTACTGAATAAGAAAGAATCTCTTAGAGTTGCAGTGGATCACAAATTACGCATCAAACACAGTGTGGAGAAGGTTTTTCCACTGATGGAAAATTTTCTAAGTTTCTGAAAGTTGATCTTAGCCATGGGAGTTATTTCGGGGGATCTTTTGACTTAGAAAGTATGAAACTTAGCATCTAGGAATGGAGTGACAAAAGTAATGAATGGCCCTAAAAGGAACACATGGGGAAGAATTAAAGGAACTCTGGTATAGTGTAAATTAGGTTTATCATAGAAGGTGACTATACACTTGATTATGTTCTGAAAGAAGAATGCATGAGATGTCAGGGGTCTTCTAGGGCAGGATACAAGCAGCAGAACAACCAGAACAGTGTCCCTTCTTCCCACATTTTCCTGTCAACCCATAACATGGGAATTTCTATCCACTTAAGAGTATAGCTGTGCCTCCTGGCTCCTGTCCCTGATTGGTGAGATAGCAGAAGTCTACTTCAGTTCAGTCGCTCAGTCATGTCCAACTCTTTGCGACCCCATGGACTGCAGCTTGCTAGGCTTCCCTGTCCAACACCAGCTCCCGGAGCTTACTCAAACTCAAGTTCATCAAGTCGGTGATGCCATCCAACCATCCCATCCTTTGTTGTCCCCTCCTCCTCCTGCCTTCAGTCTTTCTCAGCATCAGTGTCTTTTCCAAAGAATCAGTTCTTTGAATCAGGTGACCAAAGTATTGGGGCTTCAGCTTTAGCATCAGTCCTTCCAATGAGTATTCAGGACTGATTTCCTTTACAATTGACTGGTTTGATCTCCTTGCAGTCCAGGGGACTCTCAAGAGTCTTCTCTAACTCCACAGTTCAAAAGCATCAATTCTTCAGCCCTCAGCTTTGTTTATGGTCCAACTCTTGCATCCATACATGACTATTAGAAAAACCATAGCTTTGACTAGACGGACCTTGGTCAGCAAAGTAATGTCTCTGAAGCCCACTTAGGTGAGCCTTTCTCTTTTGGATGGAAGAAACAATATTACTTATTAATGGCCTTAGTCTCTTGGACTCCCTACACTCAATAAAGCAAAGAATGATGCTCCTAGTGGCTGACGCTGTCAGACCCAGCTTGCTTCAGGTGTGGTTCTCAAGATCTAAAACTTCAGGAAAAGGAATAGAAGCTCACGTAGGCTTCTCATCTCATGTTTTCTAATCCTGGTGTTTTTATTGTTAATGCTAATATTTAGACTTTTGCTTGGCTTCACTGTTTCTTTCTTTATAGATCCAGAACTCAAATGGGAGAGGTGTGATTAATTGGTCCCCTAAGTCACCCCAATAGAATGAGAAAGACTAGAGATTTTTTCAAGAAAATTAGAGGTACCAAGGGAACATTTCATACAAAGATGGACACAATAAAGGACAGAAATGGCATGTACCTAACAGAAGCAGAAGATATTAAGAAGAGGTGGCAACAATACACAGAAGAACTACAAAAAAATTCTTCATGACCCAGATGATCATGGTGGTGTGATCACTCACCATGAGCCAAATGTCCTGGAATGTGAAGTTAAGTGGGCCTTAGGAAGCATCACTATACACAAAGCTAGTGGAGGTAATGGAATTCCATTTGAGGTATTTCAAATCCTAAAAGATGATGCTGTGAAAGTGCTGCACTCAATATGCCAGCAAATTTGGAAAACTCAGCAGTAGCCACAGGACCAGAAAAGGTCAGTTTTCATTCCAATCCCAAAGAAAGGCAATGCCAAAAAATGTCCAAACTACTGCACAATTGCACTCATTTCACATGCTAGTAAAGTGATGCTCAAAATTCTCCAAGCCACATGTCAACAGTATGTGAACCATGAACTTCCAGATGTTCAAGCTGGATTTAGAAAAGGCAGAGGAACCAGAGATCAAATTGCCAACATCTGCTGAATCATCAAAAAAGCGAGGGTTCCAGAAAAACATCTACTTCTGCTTTATTGACTATGTCAAAGTCTTTGACTATGTGGACGACAACAAATTGTGGAAAATTCTGAAAGAGATGGGAATATCAGACCACCTGACTTGCCTCCTGAGAAATCTGTATGCAGGTCAAGAAGCAACAGTTAGAACTGGACATGGAACAACAGACTGGTTCCAAATAGGAAAATAATTAGTCCTGAATGTTCATTGGAAGGACTGATGTTGAAGCTGAAACTCCAATACTTTGGCCACCTGATGTGAAGAACTTTCTCATGTGAAAAGACCCTGATGCTGGGAAAGACTGAAGGCAGGAGAAGAAGGGGATGAGAGAGGATGAGATGGTTGGATGACATCACCAACTCAGTGGACATGAGCTCGAGTGAGCTCTGGGAGTCAGTGATGGAAGGGAAGCCTGGTGTGCTACAGTCCATGGGGTCACAAAGAGTCATACACTACTGAGCAACTGAACTGAATTGAAGTCACCCCAACAATATTCTATAAGCAGATTTATAGTTTAGTTTTGAAGAAATGCCTCTTTTCACAATTATGAGATACAGGTAGAAATAGACCACACAGGAAAAAAAGAACTTTCTTTTGAGATGAAAACAGAAACAAATGTTGAAAGAAGTTTTAAACTCTTAGATGAGGATTAGACCCTCCCAAGGTCCTTTAAGATTCTGTTATTTGACAGATCATTAAACTAAAAGAAAGTCCAATGGAAAAATGAGTGTATGTGTCTTGCTTTCAGAACGGCAATAAGGAGTGAATTTTCCTCATGTGGTCACAGAAATGTCTCGGATTAGCCATGCAATTCCAGATTTAGCACCCTCAGTGCTAAAGCAATGTGGAGGAACTCTCACTGGTCTGGGAATCTTATCTGTTGCCACTAAGGTGAGAGTGATGAAAATCACGTGTAGAGAAACCCACTATAGGGACAGTTGGATAATCAACTTCTCTGTCCCATTCTCTTACCCCTCCCCGGCCCGAAAGCCCAATCAGATTGGTTATCATACCTTGAGAATGTGAGACATTTTTGCATCATAGAAAAGGAAAGGAGCAGACATGCCAGGCACTTACCTACATTATATTACTTATTTCTATGAGCATGTGGATCTCATCCTGGCCTTCAAAATGCAAAACCAAAGCTTACTATATGTAAGTTGCTCAAGACTACAGAATTTGTAAGTGGTAGAGACTGGTTTAAATCTAAATCTGATTCTGAATTCCATTCACAAATATGCTGAAAGCCAAAAAGAATCTTCTCCCTGCTTCTGCTTATTGTTTTCTCTTTGCCTGAAAAGTCATCCATTAATTCAATAAATATTTGTAGAACACTTTTTGTGTGTGTGTGTGTGCCTGGGAATTGGTTTAGCTCTGGGAAAATAGATGAACAAGAATGTGCTGCCACTTCCCAGAAGCCTATCTGTCTCTCTAGGGAGAAACAGGTATGGGCAAGAAGAAAGAAACATAATGTGATAAATTCTGTGCATGAAAACTAGACAACACTCTTTGAAATCATAGGTAGTTAGACAGTAAACTCCATTAGCAGACAGGAAGATGGGTAGAAGGAGATGGAGTAGGTAGTGAACAGAGGATGCTTCAGAAGGCATTTTTGAGCTCAGGCAGTAAAGAATCTGCCTCCAGTGTGAGAGACTGCGGTTTCATCCCTGGGTCAGGAAGATCCCCCGGAGAAGGGAATGGCAACCCACTCCAGTATTCTTGCCTGGGAAATCACATGGACAGAGGAGTCTGGCAGGCTACTTTCCAGGGGGTAGCAAAGAGTTGGACATGAAACTAACACTTTCACTTTCATACATGAAAATGTTTACTATGTTTATGGCATCTGGAAAATAGCACACCAAAAATTTACTTGCTAGTTTTAAAAAATTAATCCAACAGATATTTACTGAGGCCTCTTTATGCCAGGTACTATTTCAGACATTGAAGATCAAGCAAGAATTGAAGTCGCCGGCCCCATGAAGCTTACATTTGAGTCGGAGAGTCAGATACAAGATAGTGAAAAGCTCTGAAACATTCGACTGGGTAGCGATACTGTCATGATGAAAAATAAAGCTGGCAAGGGAGTTGGAAGGGGGAGCAGCTGGGATTTCAGGTAGTCTCGTCCTTTGGGGAGAGAGGAGTGAGCTGTGTGACTTTCTGAGAGGAGAATGGCTTTGGCTGAGAAAACAGAGCAAGGCTGTGAAGCCTGGGCATGGTACCTGATATCGCAGGCATAGTAAGAAGGCCAGAGTGGCTGGACAGAACAAGAGAAGGGAAGACTGATGAGAGATATGAAGGGAGGTAGCCGGGAAGACCAAGAAGTAGGGCTTTGTAGGCTTGGGTAGCAACTGAACCTATTTATTTAGTTCCCATTTCTTATGTAAACCTTAGCTGGATGTCTTATCCAGAATAACAGGATATCATAGACTGGGTGGCTTATAAATGACAAATTTGTTTCTCACAGTTCCAGAGACTGGAGTCTGATGTGAGGGTGCTGACAGGGTCAGGTTCTGGTGAGAGCTGTCTTCTGGGTTGCAGAGGGCCATTTTCTTGCTGTGTACTCACATGGCAGAGAGGGCAAGACAACTCTCTGGGGTCTCTTTCATAAGGGCGCTAATTCCAGAGTTCCACCTTCATGATCGAATCATCTCCCCAAAGCCCCTCCTCCTAATGCCATCACATTTGTATGTGAGTGTTAGTTGCTCAGTCGTGTCCCACTCTTTGTGACCTCATGGACTGTAGCCTGCCAAGCTCCTCTGTCCATGGAATTTTCCAGGCAAGAATGGAGTGGGTTGCCATTCCCTTCTCCAGGGGATCTTCCCCACCCAGGGATCGAACTCAGGTCTTCTTCATTGGAGGCAGATTCTTTACTATCTGAGCCACCAAGGAAGCCCTGGGCTTATAAATTTCAACATATAGAATTGAAGAGGAGGGACAGAAACATTCAATTCATAACACTGGTTGCAAAGTTGTTCAACAGATATTTAAAATACAATTACTTCTACAGATCTAATATAAAATAAAATGCGTTTTAAGCATGTATTTTATTGTGCTGGCTCACCCATGCTCAATTTAATCAAAGTTGTTATAATCTCTGGTTGATATTGACTTTAGAGCCACTGAAAGGTGGGATGTCTATTATCTAAAAAATAGGAAAGTTGTCTTTTTAAAGTAAATGTGAAGTTGAGGAAATATGCAACAAAAACTTCATAGGAACCAAGTGGAAAACTTATGACATGGATCAAAACCAGAAACTGTCTTCAACTGATCATTTTAGTTTGGTTCCTTTTACAGGTTCACTCAGAAAAGCTGATAGCATTTTCAATGATATTCTGACCTTGAGGTTGGTTGTAGAAGTCTCGATCAGAAGGAAGTGCCAGAAATTGAAGACGTTAGAGTCTGTCTTTCAAGTTCTGAAAGGTCTCGGTTTTAGCTGAGCCCCGTTTGTCTTGCTCTGAAGTGTTTCTAACTGGGCTTTCCTGGTGTGAACACAAACCATGGAGGCAGCTGCGAGGCCTCCTGTGGGCCTGGAGAGGCCTGATTTACAGCTCCCACAAAGCGGGTGGGCATCTGAGCCTGCTCTCCACCACGAGAACTAAGCATTGTTCCCAAGGTCTGGCTCTGCTCCCTAGCAATTCTTAAGCCCTGGACATCAAGAAGATCCTCAATTCCCTGCTGTTCCTGAGAAGACAAGCCAAAGGGAGGAGTGGGAGAGGCCGAAGCAGTCCTCCAAGATCTATTAAAGCAATCCTCAGCAAAATAGGAACCTGGGGGAGGAGATGGAAGGGAAATCCCGATTGACTTCCCACTGTACTTACTCCCCTAAAGAGCTCCCATGGAACATTTATTTCCTCAAACTCACACTTGACGATAACAACCTCCAAACTCCCACCTAGGTTCACGAGAATGTTTCTTCCTGAATTTGGAAGGTGATGAGTTTTGGGCCTTAAGAAACTTTCCATGGGTCAGATTCCTTTCCTTTGGTTCTTACTGAGGCTCTGGAGGTAGGAAGATGGGGCTCAGAGTAGGTCGGTCTCTTGGGACGAAGGGTGAGTTTAGACCTTCGCTGAGAGGTTCCAGCAGTGGTGGTCCCTCTCCTGAGGTCCCTGTCCAGAGGCCAGTGGGGTCATCCCCACAGCTGCAGGATGTCTTCCCCACTCACCAGGAACCCACCCAGTTCCCTGAGGACCCCTAGGTGTGTCAGCATTTTCCTCCTGTGGGGAACACCTCTTTTCTTTGCCCAGGAATAAGAATCCTTCTGACCTCAGGAGGCCTCCTTCCACCTCCACAGTCACCTTCAGTTTTCCCAGTGCTGAGAGTTTCTCCCATGTTTCATTAACACTCAGATGAAGCCCTACCATGTCCCTCACAGCATCGCCTCACTCCACCAGCACTGCTGAGGAAATTGAGGCTAGAAAGAGAAAATGGCTTGTTTGAAGTTGCAGACCTACTCTTTCCCCTACTTCTTGTTTGGAAAGGCTGTTTACAGAGGAAGGCTACAAACCCACGTTCCCAGCTGTTTCCCCGCTAAACTCTATCAGGGGCTTGCAGTGCAGTAGCTTCCTCTAATTCATTCATGGATAGCAGACCCAGAGCACATGGCCTCTCACATCCCGTAATTACCCTTCTTAGGGGACCCCGCATTCCCTGAGGCTCTATTCCATGAAGAAACCCTTTAGCAAGCACCTGGAAATAGACATTTGAAAGTGAAAGTGTTAGTTGCTCAGGCATGTCCATCTCTTTGAGACCCCCTGGACTGTAGCATGCCAGGCTACTCTGTCCCAGGGATTCTCCAGGCAAGAATACTGGAGTGGGTTGCCATGCCCTCCTCCAGGGGATCTTCCCAACCCAGGGATAGAACCCAAGTCTCCCACATTGCAGGCAGATTCTTTACCATCTGGAAGGGAAGCCCTTTCAGGGCTTACAGCCCTTTCAAGCCCTTACAGGGAAGCCCTTAGGCAATGGGCATTTGGAGCTCTCAAAACAGGTGTTGAGATGTTTAGACTGCAAAGACAGTGTTTGGAAATGATCTTGCTAGGTTATCTTAACTCTGGGTTTTTATTAAAGTCTTTAGTTTAATTTTGGTCATGTAATCTTGGTAAGGGTTTTAAGTGGCTTCTGAGTAATTTTCTTAAAATCAGGCAAGTACACACACACACAGACACAGACACCCCGAAGGTGCTCACACATCTCCTGCTCATTCAACATCCTAGATTCAGTTTTATTTTTTCAGTGCCTGACCTTGTAATTAGAAGTACATTTTCTTTGAAGAGACAATTACATTTGTAGATGGCAGTGAATGGGAAGCTCAGAGAATGTTCCCCAGTGTTAGTCAGAGGCCATTTGAGTTAGCACTGAGAAATCTTGCTGAAGCTTCAAACTAATAAAGTGAAAATGCTTATAAAATTGCCAAGAACACTTCTCTGAAGGTGTAATTAATTATTCAAAGAACTGGTAGTCACTGCAAGAACGGATCTCTGGCTGCACTTCCACATCCACAGAGTATCTTAGGTATCTGTGTTACAACTCAGGAAGTATACATACTCATTTCACTGAACTTCCTCATTATACAAATCGAGTAGTCAAGAATTCAAGAAGGAAAATAACTTAACCAAGGTTGCATAGGGGTCTAGGTACAGAGTTGGACCAGGACCCACCCCATGGACTCAGTCCAGATTGTCCCATTCCTCTATAGGATAAGTTATTCCTAGGCAATCTGGGGTTAGAGGTAGTTTTCCAAAAAGCTGTTTCCTAAACCCAGTTAATCTAAATAGGGAGGGCCAGGCCATGGGACAAGTAGGTATAAACAAAGCTGGGCAAATCCAGAGGCAAGAATACTTCAGCCTGCTATTTAGGAGCAACGGCTGAAGGAACAGGTGATGTTCAAAAGAGCAGGTCTGGCCTTGAAGGCAGAGCACATGCTTATGTATTTGGTCACATATGGTATGCAAACTGGTGCCCAGATGTTGTTTCTTAGTCTCTAAGTTGTGTCTGACTCTTTTGTGACCCCATGGACTGTAGGCCACCAGGCTCTTCTGTTCATAGGATTCCCAGGCAAGAATACTGAAGTGGGTTGCAATTTCCTTCTCCAGGGAATCTTCCCAACCCAGGGATCAAACTGGCATCTCCTGCATTATAGGTAGGGTCTTTACCATCTGAGCTACCTGGGAAGCCCAATGCCTACATAAAGGAACTAACATTTAAGGAACCCCGATTATGCAACTGCTATCCGCAGTTGAGATGAGAAATTGAGGCTCAGGAAAAATTGTGCTGTGCAGAAATCACCTAGCCAGGAAACAGTGGGGCTATATAGCTTAAACCCAGGTCTTAACTGCTCCAAAGCTTATGTTCCTTCCATCTTACTCCAGTGTGGTTGAACTGGGGCAGAGGATAGAAATGGTGGAGGTAGATTTCAGTTAGATTAACTCAAGAAAGTAACAACCCAGATATCTAAAAATCAAGCTGGTTGCATTGGATAGTGGCAAGCTCCCTCCCTGTTTGTGAAAAGGTGTGAGAGGCAGCCTGTTACTCCTGTGACACGAGTGCTATGAAGAATCTATGCATGGGAGGAGATGCATAGCCAGTTGGATGGGGAATGGCTATTATTTCTGCTCCCCCAGGGCTTCCTTTTGGATTTGATATAAGCCAGCTTCCTGTATGGCTGGATTATCTGTAAATGTGTGTGAGATATAATGTGTGTGTGTGTGTGTGTGTGTGTGTGTGTGTGTTATATTCAGTGAAACTTTCTCTGGTTTCCATACAGGTCTTCTTGCTTGTCCTTTCATTACTCTACAGATCATTCTTGACACAGTGGCCAGAGTAAAATGAGTTTCCCAGCATTCTCAATCCCCTTTGCCTTGCTCTATTATTTTCCATAGCATTTATCACTGTCTAGTCAAATTATCTAATTTACTTATTATGCTTCTTATTTTTGTCTGTCTCCCCTCCCCTCCTCCTCCCCAAAAGAATTTGAGCTCCACCAGGAAAGGGTTTTGTTTTGTTTTGTTTACTGAAGTAACCAAGTACTTAAAACTATAGCTAGGCACCTATTAGACATTCACTAAGAATGTTGGTTGAATAAATGAATATGTGGATGCTCCTGTGATTTTTTAAGGTTGAAGCCATCTGCAGAAAGGGCTTTCCTATTTCTTGCTTCTAAGATTTTGACTGATGCCATCCTGCACTGACATCTCATAAGGATGTTTAAGACACAAAAACACATCACAAATATAAATGCTGGGACCTGGACTATGTCAGTGGCAACAGAAATTCCAAAAAGAAAATAAAGAATTTGAGCTTAAGTCTTGGGGCCTTGTGCTATTTTACATAAAAATGAAACAGTATTCTGGGGCATAAAAGATGCTAGACTGGGAATCAGAAGACTTGACCTAACTGCTACAAGTCCCTTTTCACATCTGTGTAAATATGTCATTCATTCTTTCATTGGTTAATTCACCATCCATCCATCCCTCCAAAAAATATTTTTAAAAAAATTACTATGCCTTAGGCATTACTTCAGGAGGTGGGAACATAGTTGTGAACATGATAGCAAAGGTCCAGCTTTCCTAGAACTTGTAATCTAGCAGGTGTGATAGAAAAGGAACCTAAAAGCATGAAAATTATATGGTTTGAATTAATAATAAATACTCTGAA